CCTGGGCTGGATTCAAACCCGCCACCTTAGGTGTTTGTGGCTGGCGCCTCAGCCACTTGAGCCACAGGCGCCAAGCCTGAATCTCTCCTCTTAGTCTTTTTTGAGCTTGTTACCATTGCACTTTCACAGCTGCCACTAAACTGAAATGGTCCTGTGAGGATCCCGGGTGACCCCATGCTGCTGTGTCACTTCACAGTCCTGTCTCACAGGGTCTCTCACCTCCTCTTCTTTCACACACTCTCTTTCCCACTCCCTGGCCGCCCCTCCTTGGTCTCCCTGCTGGTTCCTGTCTGTCTCAATACCCTCCGTAATGTGTGCATGTGCCACCCTTGCTGCCTTCCTGACGTCTCACTTAGTGACAGGAATGTCTCTGTCAACACATCCCAGCTGGAACTCCTGCTCTTCCTCCCTGTTCCCTCTCCATACCTGTTCCTCCCAGGGTACTGCCATTTCAGTTAGTGACAGTTTTAGCCTTCCACTTGCCCAGGCTAAAAGCCTGACATCGCCCACGACTTCGCTTTCTTACCTACAGCCAGGCTGTCAGCAAATAAGGTAGGTTCTACGCAGCATACATCCAGAGTCCCACCACCTCCACCACTACCCCTGTGTTTGGGTTTTGTCTTTCTCCGTTTATCACCTGAGGATACTATATAGTTTTCCTATTTATTGCCTTTCTCTCCTACAAGGAAGTAAACTCCACGGGGGTGGGAACTTATGTCTGTGTTGTTTGCTGTATCCCAAAGAGTGCCTGGCGGGTGGTAGGTGCTCACTAAGTATGAACCAACGAGGGATTTGCAGGTAGTGGTATTACCTCATTTGACTGATGGAAAATGTGAGAGTTTTAAGTAATTTGCCCAGGTTCGTATAGCAGTAAGGGACAGAATTGGGATTCACATCCAAGTCTGTGTCTGGCGTCCTTCCCACCAAGCAAGCAATGTGGCTTGTGGCAGAATGGCTGGGAGTATCAAGCTCACGGTAATCAGCAGCATTTCTTTCTTTGTGCTTATAACTAAGTTGGTCACATTGATTGAATTTGCAGTTTCCCTACAATCCAGTTCAATTGACTTGACTTATCGACCACAGACTACATTACTATGTAGCTTTTGCTTGAAAGGAAGACATTCAAGCATCTGTGGAAATCATTCCCCCCAGAGCCAGTAGTGTTAGTATCAAATAGATGTTTGGAAACATAGCAGATTTGTGTAGGATTGTTGATAGGATCATTACATTCATTGCATCTTCTTTAAATATAGTTGCTAAAGCTCAAGCAGTTGTTTACTGCACGTGTTCAGTTTATCCAGAAGAAAATGAAACTGTTGTTAATAAAGCACTGGAATTTCAAGACCGTGGGAATAAAGTGCAACCTTATAGGTAAGAAAAGAAGGGACTCTTCCAAACAACTCAAACTGTCATGTATTTTTGAGAGTGTCTGCTTTTTATTATACTTTAATGTGATCAAATAGCCTAACTTCCTACAACTTTAGAATAGATTCGCTAGAGCCTTTACAACAGCTTGGCACGAGCATTTTCTTATATGTTACAATAGTCCTTTTTTTTTGTTAGCTAGAGGTATTTTGGCTTTGACTTGATTGGTTTCTGGATAAACTGGGTCCACATTTTACATCCCCATTTGAGATAGCATGTATACCTTCGTAGAAGAAAAATAAGTATATAAAATATTCCTAGAAAGCAGACAGACAATTGGATGTTTATTTTCTGAAAACTTGTACATTCCTTAAGCCATTTAGTCTTTGGGACTCTCAGGACTGAGGCAAACATAACCCAGATGTCTACAGTAGCTTCTGAGTAAAATGCTGCAGTAAACTAGTGCAGTGATTTCCAACTAGGGTGTTGAGGCACACTGGTGGGCCATGAGAGGAGCTGAGGGGTGTTGCGAACAATTTGAAAGACCTAAGTTAAAAGCACAGTAATATTCTTTTGTTTATTCTTTCTATTTGATCAACATAACTTAAGTGTGAAGTTTAACTATAGTTTCAAGTGTGCCCTGAGATGATGAAGGTTGAAATGCACTGATCTGGGGGTGCAGAAAGAGCACTACACTACAGTCTGAACTGTGGACGTCCCGAAAAGGAGTAGATCTGAGAATGAATGACAGCATTAGTTACTTCAGACTGGTGCAGTGAATAAGGCATTCTAAACCTCTCTTCCATTTTTTCCTGACTTCTCCAGCTGTGAACTTTCCCTCTGATTCGTAACATGCAACGTGGGTGTAGTCTGCTCCCTCCTTTTGACATTTTTTTTTCCCTTTGCTATTTCACAAGTGTTTATCACACTTTTATTTCTTTTCTTGCTGACTCTTTCCTTATTTAGTAGCTCTTGTTGATGGCTGGCAGCCAACCTCCTGTTCTGAGAGCACTCTTAAATCACTCTGTCCAGCACAGTGGTTTGCAAACTTTTTACCTCACAGCACACTTGAGCCAATAGCTAAACTTCCAGGGTACACTTAAATTATGCTAATCAAGAAAAAGTAAACAAAAAAAATACTGTGCTTTGAACTTCTTTTGAAAATAGTTTAATGATCTTGAAAATTTTCCATAGCACACCTAAGATCTCACACGGCACATCTGTTACAAATCACGGAAGCTGCTGAGGGCATTCTTGCAGGTGTATAACCAAGTTGGTGAACGTGGAATGCATAACTCTTGATTTGTCAGGGATAAGATTTTTATAATATAACATGGCAAAAATGTAGGACTAGTTTATCTCGGGTTAACTGAGATTAATGATTATTCTATACTATGGTATGAAAGACATAAGTAGTATTTTATTTTATTTTATTTTTTATTTATTTAATTTTTTTGCAGTTTTGGCCGGGACACTGGACCCGCCACCTCTGGCCTATGGGGCCGGCACCCTACTCCTTTGAGCCACAGGTGCCACCATAAGTATTATTTAAAAAGACATGTTATAAAGGCAGAATAATTTATTTTCTAGATTGGTCTGAGAGTTGAGCTCAAATTGGTTTATAACTACTCATTGGGGATGCTGTCAAGCAGAGTGATGCATTGCCTGGGAAGTGCTCGAGGTGCCTTGAGGAGTCATTTCTATATTCCCTGAAGTAGTTGAATTTAGGAGTAAAAGCAGCATTATCTGTCATCCAAGCTAACCACCTACCTGATGCTTTTATTTCCTTCCAATATCCCAGAAATATTTAGCTCATTTTGAATGTAAGCCTTCATGATACTTACCTTAGTTAGGCCTATGGAAATTTTTTTGGTCCTGGTCCCCTATTTTAAAAACCTCACATATTACAGAAGTACTAACTAAAAAAGAAAATAGTTTCCTAAATCCCATCTTTTCATATATAACTGTTCTTACCAGTTTGATTTATAGTCTAGATTTTCTTTTTTTTTTTGAGACAGTGAGTCTCACTTTGCCACCCTTGGTAGAGTGCCGTGGTATCACAGCTCTCAGCAACCTCAAACTCTTGAGCTCATCACAGCTCTCAGCAACCTCAAACTCTTGAGCTCAAGTGATCCTCTTGCCTCAGCCTCCAGAGTAGCTGGGAATACAGGTGCCTGCCACAATGCCCAGCTATTTTTAGAGACAAGGTCTGGCTGTGACTTAGGCTGGTATTGAACCATGAGCTCAGGCAGTCCACCCTCCTCTGCCTCCCAAGTGCTAAAACTACAGGTGTGAGCCACCGCACCTAACCCTAGTCTTCTAGATTTTTCCAGCACCCAAGAATGTGCATATTTTAAGTTTTAATTTATATTGTCAAATTACCCAACAAAATATTCATTCTTATAAATCTGTTTCCCCACAGCTTCACAAATGCTAAGTTTTACCAGAATTTTAAATATTTGTCAGTGCAAGGGGTAAAAAGATGAGATCTTACTGTTTATGACTGACTTTTTCATTTCTCTGCTCCTCAGGTCCAGCATGCTTCCTGGGTGCTGACTGGGCACTATAGTGTGGAGTAGTTAAAATGGGGATTCTGGAGAGTGGGCTTTGAACATTTTTGCTCAAATACTCCCTAAAACTTTTTGAATAACTGTATCTTATTTTTTATTTGAAAGCTAACGTCTAACATTTTCACCATAAGTTTAAATAGTTGAAAAATATATTATTTCTATACTGTTATGCTACATATGTGTTTTAAATATACAGTAGAGCCTTCATAGTTGACCACATCTCCACATTGACCACCTCCGTAAGTTGAAGAGACTTAAGTTTTCACAGCCTGGACACGCACCACACGTAGGTATCAGGACAGCAGGCCTAGTTCCTTATGTTGACCAGCTCCGTATATTGACCAGTTTGTGGCAGTCCCTTGGGTGATCAAATTACAGAGGCTCTACTGTATTTTTGTTAAATCTTTAGACCTGCAGATTTATCTTATGTGATTGATGTGCGGAAAATGCCGAATTTGCCACTTATTTTACATAGTTTGATTGTCAAAACCAGATTTACCTTGTCAGATAAAAATCTGACTTTATTCTTTAATTCAGATAAACATGTTAATATTCTCTTGTGAAAATGTCTCAATTTTAATCCTAGGAGAGATAGATATATAGAAATAAGGAAGGGAAAGGATGGAAGTGGGAGGAAGAGAGAAGGGGAGGGAGGAAGGAAGGGAGGGAGGAAGGAAGGGAGGGAGGAAACACTGCTTTGCTGAGAATTTGACACCCTCTTAAAGGCTTCTTACCTAAACTCTGCTTGGCTAAGGGGGAAGAGAGCACATTCTTTTTGCTTTGTTTTGTTTTTTTAGAGACACAGTCTTACTTTGTTGCCCTTGGTAGAGTGCCATGGTGTTAACAGCTCGCAGCATGGGCAACAACTCTTCAACTCTTGGGCTTAAACGATTGTCTTACGTCAGCCTCCCAAGTAGCTGAGACTACAGGTGCTCACCACAACACCTGGCTATTTTTTCTTGCCACCCTCGGTATATGGGGGCTGGCGCCCTACTCACTGAGCCACAGGTGCCGCCCTAGAGAGCACCTTCTTGAGTTGTCCCTTTGTTTAAAATCTCCTAGGTGGGCTCAGCGCCTGTAGCTCAAGTGGCTAAGGCACCAACCACATACACCTGAGCTGGTGGGTTCGAATCCAGCCCAGGCCTGCCAGACAACAATGACGGCTGCAACCAAAAAATAGCTGGACGTTGTGGTGGGTGCCTATAGTCCCAGCTACTTGAGAGGCAGAGGCAGGAGAATCGCTTGAGCCCAGGAGTTGGAGGTTGCTGTGAGCTGTGATTTCACAGCACTCTACCCAGGGTGATAGCTTGAGGCTCTGTCTCAAACAAAACAAAACAAAACTGATAGGTAGATTTTAAATCTTCTAGTTTAAAATCTCCTAGGAGATTGTAACATCTTGGGACAATGTACTGTAACAAGGTAGGTGATAGTTATACCATTTTTTTTTCCTGTTAAGTGGCAGGTTATTATGAATGGAGAGGAGGGTGAAGGGGCTGTAAAAATATTAATGGCATTACCTACTTCATTAGATCCTTGTGGGGATTGAATATGTTAATTCATGAACAGTACCTGGCATATAACAAATGTTCACTAATTTTTAATTGTTATGGTTTATTTGTAAATTGCATGTTCATGTGCTTTCCTACCTTTTCAACTGCATTATTCTTTTTATATGTCTTATTGCATAGTTGGAATATTTACATTTCATGTAAATCACAAATTTTTTAAGATTATCTATATTTTTAAATATTTTAAAATAAAAACTTTAATTAAAAATTTGCTTTTTAAAACATACATTGAAAAATTTCTATATATCAGTCTTTTCCTGATGGCTTCTATACTTATATTATATTGATCCCGAGAGTATGAATGCTTTTACTGTTTTTTTGTTTTGTTTTGTTTTTGAGACAGAGTCTCACTTTCTTGCCCTGGTAGAGTGTTGTGGCATCATAGCTTGCAGAGACCTCAAGCTCTTGGGCATAAGCCATCCTTTTGCCTTAGCCTACCAAGTAGGTGGGAGATAGGTGCCTGCCACAAGGCCTGGCTATATTTTAGAAATGGAGTCTTGCACTTGCTCAGGCTGGTCTTGAACTTGTGAGCTCAGGGCAATCCACCTGCCTTGGCCTCCCAGAGTGCTGGGATTATAGGCATGAGCCACCGTGCCCAGCCCTACCAGTTTTATTTTTTAGAGACAGAGTCTCCCTCTGTCACCCTGGGTAGAGTGTCATGGTATCACAGCTCACAGCAACCTCGAACTCCTAGGTTTGAGCAATCCTCTTGCCTCGGCCTCCCAAGTAGTCCACCATAACACCAGGATAATTTTCTTATTTTTAGTAGAGACCAGGTTTCACTCTTGCTCAGGCTGGTCTCCAACTCCTGAGCTTAAGTGATCCACCTGTCTCAGCCTCCCAGAATGCTAGGATTACAAGCATGAGCCACCATACCCGGCCACACCAGTTTTCTTTTAGAGTTTTTATAATTTCATCTCTTTTTGTATTTAAGTATTGATTTTCTGCTATTTATTTTGGTAAAGGAGTAAAGTAGGGATCAAACTTAATATTTTCCCCAAATAATCTTTCCCTGTCCCTTCCTCTCACTGACTTAAAATGCCATGTTTTTACTATGCTATAATCCCACATGTACTTCTGTGTGAGTCTGTAATTCTGTTCGATTGATATTTGGCTATTTTTGTAAAAATATGACAGTGCTTTAACTACTATAGTTTTTTTTTTTTTTTTTTTTTGAGATAGAGTCTCTCTGTGTCACCCTTGGTAGAGTGCTATGGTATCACAGCTCATAGCAACCTCAAACTCTTGGGCTTAAGCAATTCTCTTGCCTCAGCTCCCAAGTAGCTAGGACTACAGGTGCCCAGCACAACACCTGGCTATTTTTTTTGTTGTTGCTGCAGTTGTCATTGTTTAGCTGGCCTGGACTAGGTTCAAACCTGCCAGCCTGTGTGTATGTGGCCGCTACTGTAACCACTGTGCTACAGGCACCAAGTCTAACTACTATAGTTTTAAATGATTTTCGCAAATTTTATTTTTTTTAATTATAACCCCCACACACGTCAGCATATTAAATAAAAATCCAAAAATGGGTAATGAAAAGTTAATGATTTCCTTCCTGCGTCTCTCCATCTCTGAATCCCGCAGTTTCCCCTTATGGGGATGCAGCAGAGCCCTGGAGGGCCTGCTGAACAGGCGTGATCTCTGCTTATCTCTGTTACGAAAGGGTCTGCAGGAGCACTAGGGTTGCTGGGGCAGCAGCAGGCAGGAGCCTGGAAAGTTTGCTGTCTGATGGCTGATCAGCCATACTAGTGTGTACCAGCTGAATGTCAGCACGTGAGTGTGTGTGTGTGTAGTATGTTATGGATAATTTATACACTATATGGAACTGTTCCTCTTTAGTAAGTGTTTTGAGATATAATTCACATATTATATAGTTCATTTTTATGAATATGTTTAAAAAGCATCAGTTCAAGCCTTTTAAAATATATTCATGAGGCTGTGTAACCATCATCCCTATAATTAATTTTTGCATATAACATGAGTTAGGGTCCAACTTCCTTCTTTTGAATATGACAACCCAGTTGTCTAAGCAAAATTTGTTGAAAAACTATTCTTGGCTGGGCATGGTGGCTCATGCCTGTACTCCTAGCACTCTGGGAGGCCAAAGTGGGTGGATAGCTTGAGCTCATGGGTTCAAGACCAGCCTGAGCTAAAAGTGAGACCCTGTCTCCACTAAAAATTAAAAAACTGAGGCAAGAGGATTGCTTGAGCCCAAGACTTGGAGGTTGCTGTAAGCTGTGATGCCACAGCACTCTACCCAGGGTGACAGCTTGATACTGTCTCAAAAAAAAGAAAAGAAAAAACTATTCTTTTCTCTTTGAATGGTCTTGGCATCTTTGTTGAAAATCAGTTAATCATAGACATATAGGCTGATCTCCAGACTCCTATTCTGTTCCATTGATTTATGTCTGTACTTAAACCAGCACCACAGTAAGAGGTTTTGAAAGCCACTGATGGATGCTTTGTTTTAAGAAGAGCTTTGCAGCATTTAATGTGATCAAATATTATTCTCATCTGACATTTTTTTTTTTTTTTTTTTGAGACAGAGCCTCAAGCTATCCCCCTGGGTAGAGTGCCGTGGCATTACAGCTCATAGCAACCTCCAACTCCTGGGCTCAAGCGAGTCTCCTGCCTCCGCCTCCCAAGTAGCTGGGCCCACAGGCGCCCGCCACAACGCCCGACTATTTTTTGGTTGCAGCCGTCATTGTTGTTTGGCGGGTCCGGGCTGTGGATTCGAACCCGCCACCTTAGGTGTACATGGCTGGCGCCTTAGCTGGTTGAGCTATAGGCGTCGAGCCCTCATCTGACATTTTAACATGGTAGTTTATTATATCCTTTTCTAGTAGTGGACCATTTCTAAGCTTGAAGGCTAGGTTGTGTTCTCTGTTTTGAGAAGGAATCTGTTCCTAGTAGGGAAGGTCAAGTGCACCAGAGGGATTGGACTGTCATTCCTGTGGGTACTCCTTGTGGTAACTAGTAATTGCATATTCCTTGCTTCTCATGGATGATCTGCTTGCCTGGTCTCGTCCTCTTTTGCTGTCAGTGAGCCCCGTTCTGTAGCAGCATCTCCTCTGTCAGTCCTGGCCGACATGGAAGCTGCCATGCCCTTCTCACTGCTGTCCCTCTCCCCAGTGCCTTGTTTGTTGTGCTGATGAAGGGTCTGCCCTTGGGCCCTCCTCTGGTGGTTTTCCAGCCTTTGCAGTATATCCACCACAGCAAGCTCCCATCTGTCTTCTAACCTTTCTTCTGGTGTCAGCTGCCCGCAGGCTGGAGCCGTGGTGTATTAGTTTTCTGTTTCTGCCTAAGAAATTGTCACAGATTTGGTGGCATAAAGCTCCTATTAGCTCGCAGTTCTGAAGGTCAGATGTCTGGCTTCTTTGCTCAGTGTGTCAGTCAGGCTGATTTTTGGTAGAGGCTCTGGGGAGCAGTCCACTTCCTAGCATGAGCTTACAGCCCTTGCTGTCTATCCGAGACTGCTCTGAGCTCCTGGGGGTAGCCTTCATTCCTCCCACGAGGCTCCCCCCATCTTTAAGCAATACCACAACATATCCATCTCAAATTCAATCTCTGATTTCTTCCATTCTCCACCTCTAGACCCAGATTTAAAAGGCTCATATGATTAGGTCAGGTCTACCCAGATAATATCCATATCCTAAGGTTAACTAATTTGGGAATTGAATTACACATCTACCAAAATCCTGTATCCCATGTGTATCAGTTTCTTGGGCTGCTGAAACAAATTACCCCAAACTTGGTGGCTTATAACAAAAAATTTATTTTCTTAGTTCTGGAGGCCAGAATTATGGAATCAAGGTGTTGGCCACATAGATTCCTTCTGGAGCCCGTGTCCCCTGCTCTCTCCTAGCTTCTGGTAGTTGCTGGCAATCCTGGGTATTCTTGAGCTTATAATAGTATATAGAAAAATAATTTAATAAATGATTTCCTGGTTCGGCGCCTGTGGCTCAAGTAGCTAAGGCGCCAGCCACGTATACCTGAGCCGGTAGGTTCAAATCCAGCCCAGGCCCACCAAACAATGATGGCTGCAACCAAAAAATAGCCAGGCATTGTGAGCTGTGATGCCACAGCACTCTACCCAGGGCGACAGCTTGAGGCTCTGTCTCAAAAAAAAAAAAAGATTTCCTGGTATTTTAATTCATACAATAGTTCATTGCTTTGACTTATTAAATATAATTTATTCTAAAGCATGGAAACAACCATTTATTCATGAATGAATTACTAATGAGACATAAAATATAAATTTTTTTTTTTTTTGCAACAGAGTCTCACTTTATTGCCCTCGGTAGAGTGCTGTGGCATCACAGCTCACGGCAACCTGGAACTCCTGGGCTTAGGTGATTCTCTTGCTCAGCCTCCTGAGTAGCTGGGACTACAGGTGCCTGCCACAATGCCCGGCTATTTTTTTGTTGCAGTTTGGCCGGGGCTGGGTTTGAACCTGCCACCCTCGGTATATGGGGCCGCCGCCCTACTCACTGAGCCACAGGTGCCGCCCGTAAAATATAAAATTTAAAAACCAAAATTTTATTTTAAATCTATTAGTGATTAGAAATTTTTATATTTCTGACACCAGGTCTTCTTTCTTGAACACTACGTATTTATACTCAAAAGGTGGGAAGAATAATGTGGTTAAAATGATAGGCTGTATTTTAATAATGTAATTGTGCAAACAGTAACCAAAAGAAGGAAGTCATACCTTTTGTATTTTGATAGGGGGAAGTATTGGAAATGTAGGATAACTTTGTGATTAATATACATATGTATCTGTTTTGATAAGGGAAGTCTTTTGTTAACATTAGTGACTTTGAGAAGATTTTAGTTTGTCAAAATTTGTTATTCTTGAAATAGTTGTTTAAAGATGGAGAATTTCGGGAGTATGATAAATTATGAGCTAATATGAAACAGAGCTTGTACATTACTAGCATTTTCGGAAAGACTGCTTCAGCATTTTTTTCTTATTTGGGATTTCTATTTAAACGGTTAGTAAAACATACCAGAAGAAAATGCAGCTTTCTTCCCCCCCCCCCCCCGGCAGAGCAGCCGTCTAACCCTAACTGTTTGTTTGTACCCACTGCAGGCGTAGTCCTCCTGTTCTTCCTCTGTGCTCCTTAAAGGACATACATTTGTCTACCGATAAATTTTTCAGAATGGAGCCATCAGAAACTACCAACGGTTGCTTTCTTTCAGTTTTAACAAGGGAGGTAAGGAAAAAAGAACTCAATCTGTGTTATCCTTTGGAATTAAGATCGTGAGAGGAACTGAGAGCCCTGTGAGCCTTCTATAAAGATGAGCTCGTATTTCATAAACAGCTCTCGGGGGCAGGAAAAAGCATGATTGCCATGTGGCAGATCATCTCCATTCCCTACGCTGCCCCTGAGTATTCGTTCCTCTTTTGCCTGCCCTGGACCCCACCTCTGCAAGCACCCCGTCAGCATTTAGTGCGTCTTCCTTCACACGTAAGAAATGAACTATGAGGTTCATAAATGGGGAAGTTTAAATAAAAAATAAAAAAGCCATCTGCTGAGGTTTACAAGATGGATTAGGGACTAAGGCCTAGAAAACATTTATTTCTCATAGTATAATCAAGATACTCTTTATTTCTACTGCAGCATTGATAAATATTTGCAATATATACAATAATAGCTGAGTCCCACATTCAGTAACTGCTTCTCTTGTTGTAGCGGGACCCATCTGAGGCAGTGTCTGTGAAAGATGTTTTGGCCCGAGCTGCAGCCAAGGGTCTGCTGGATGGGATTGAGTTGGGTAAACCATCCAAACGGGAGAAGAAGAAGAAAAAATCTAAAACCTCATTGCCGAAAGCTTCCATTACTGAAGAGAATGGCGTCCAGATGAAAATTGCGGAGTTCCTGACCCGAGAAACTAAACCCAGCGCTAGTGAAGAAGAACCATTAACAAAACCAGCTCTTCCCCAGAAAAACACTGCTCAAGTGGGGGCTCCCTCACAGGTCAGAAAGCCCAGGAAGCCCTCCCCGAGTCCTTTAGTGCCTGCACTTACAAAGAACACACGTCCGCTCAGACTATACGAACGGCAGACAAACTGCATGAGACCTCGGCCAGAAGAGAAGATGGTTCCTCTGAAGCCCATCGAGATTGTGTTGCCTCCAGTAATGATTCCACTTTCAACTTCCGAGGGGCTCAGAGCTCATATACCGACTTCACATTTTTACTGTCGTTGGGTTGGACCCAAGACTCCGGTGACCAGCTACTTTCCCACACCATCACTGTCCAGAAAAGGGGAAAAGCCTAAAGATAACTTACCTTTCTCCCTACTCAGGCATCCGCGGCCATGGCTTTGACTGGGCCAAGAGCAGTAAATTTTTTTTTTTCAAAGTCTACTGAGTCTACTTCTCTGAAGATTATATATTCCTCACAAGATACTCATCCTTTTGGTTACTTAGTATCTTCTAAATGTGATTTTACTTTCAACGAATTAAGACAAGCAAGAAACAATGTGGGCGAGTAAACAAAGCAGAATTGAGAGATTCCAACCCCGTAGTCATCATCTGTTCACACCGTCCAGTGCAGACTCAGTGTCAGCTGTTGGAACTTCTCTCACTCCTCCCAACTGTCTGGACTTGGGGCTGCACCAGTTTCTCCTGAAGGCCAACCCTGCCTGCTTTGTCACAGGCCTCCTCTCAAACTTGGAGGCAAGTTCCTTAGAAGCAGGGATGTGGAAAGGATGCCGGCTCTTTCCCACCAACCAGAGCCTGCTCTTTGGTATCCAGGCAGTTGTAGTTTTTTTTCAATCACGATCGAGGTTGATTTTTTTCCTTAAATATCAAACTGTTCTTTGAACAGGACATGGCATAAGTTTTTGTAATGTCTGAGGTTGCGTATGAACAGGAAGCATAGGAAGTTCCAAAGTGCCACCTGTGTGTAGCTTAGATGTCCATGTATAAAGTGTTTCTTTCTCACTGGGAGAACTTCCAGGATTCTGAGTAGATTGAACACAGTCATATCTCCCTTCCTACCACTTATGCCAAACACTGTTGTAAAAAAGTGTGAGGAAATTTCCATCTAACTGCTAATAATTCTGAGGAAGAGGCAACACTTGAATGTAAGTCATACCGATTGTTGAAGAAACTAAAAAATTTCTGATTCTATTCAAAGATCAGGTGATACAGCAAAATGTATAAGTCATTTCAAATGGCACACAGTATCAAATTTTGGTCAATCATTTTTGATGCACTACGTTAATTATAATAAATGTTGATTCATCTTGATTATATTATCAATTGCCTACCAAGAATTGGTATGATGATCATTTCTGGGTCTACTGATCTTTTTCATCATGGCAACAGAAACTGACATTAAAAAGAGTAAGATACAGCTATAAATCTTACTGTTTAAAAAAGTTCATAGACACATGAAGTTTGAATTTAAAGTAGTATTTTCAGGATTCACTTGTGTGGAAGTGTTAGGGAAATTCCTAAATGCTCGGTTCAGGTGGCATAATTCTCAGTAGAATATTATCCTCTTCAAGATGACTATTTAGGTCTATTTCAGCTCTAATATTTTATTTTTCATTTTCTTATTTGAGGTAAGGATAAAAAAAATGGTGAATTTCATTTTAGTAGCAATCATTTTTCTTTTAGCTTAAGATTTATATTGATCAATAAAATGTCAGTGAAGAAATACTTGAACCAAGCTTTATATTTTAATCCCCCCAAATCTTTATCACTCTTAAAGTACAAAAATGTTTTAAATGCTCAATTTTATTAATTTCAAAAATCAAAAATTATATATCTGTTTGCTCTGAAATAGTATGTGCTTTGTTCTCGCATTGCCCCCCACATCTGTCTGGCTTAGATGGTGCCCCCCATCTCCAGGAGGGCAGTGCAGTTCAGCTTAATATGATGTCAGCCAGCAAAGAGCTGGCATGTGAGCCCAGGATTTTACCTTTTCCTGGCCGCCTCCCCCACCCCAGGCTGAAATTTCTGTCCTGAAATAGGCCCGAGATTTTTATTTCCCAGTGTATTTTCTGTGATAAGTTAACTCTCATGGTTATGAAATGGAGTTTAGGATATTCTTCTGCTCTTCCTTAGCAGCATGTGATTGATACCACCCATAAAAGCCACTTGTTTTCACAGTCACCTAACATGCATGGGAGCACCAAATTATTTCTCTCTTTAGAAGTGTATGGACATTCTGAATTAAAGCAAGTCTTCTAAGGATAGGCTCTATCAATTATTTAAATACTTTGGTAGGAAAAAAAGGGGGAAATATTTTAGATAAAAGCAGTATGCACAAATTCTGGTGAAGGAGAATGCTGAGTACACTGACTTTTTTGGCGTTTTATGTTCAACATTTTAAACTACTGCAAAAAATAAGGAAATTACTGGCATTTAGATAGTCCAATAGCAGATTCATATTTTTATATGAAATTACCACTTATAATGCCTGAAACCATAATGAAATTTCATCCTTTATGAGGTATTTGCCTTTAATAGGGTGAAGGGATAAACCACCGGGGGACACAGGATGAACAGAAAGTGGGGACATACCTTTACTGCTACTTACCTTTCACATGCTTAATAGTCAAATAAAACCGGATTCAACTGATTTTCCTAGTTATCTTTCATTTCGCATTTAGACCCTGTAGATCTCTATTCTTTTGAAGTCAGTTTCCCAAAGGAAGTGAGAGGTTAGACTTTGTGCTGGAACTTCTTAGAAAGACTGCTTACCGAGGACTCGATGGCTGACGACGTGGTCTTCTGTGTCCAGAATGCCAGCTGTCCTCCTTCATCACCAAATATGGACAGGGTAATGAATCAAAACTGAAAGTTACTTCCTAGTTCTTATAAGGTGGAAATAACTAAAGCAGAATCCTCCATTACTAAAATGATTTCTAAAATGTCTGGGGTGAAAATGTAAAAATGACCAGAAGACAGACACTAAATTTATGTTTCTGTTCCTCATACATATAACTAAGATGCCAGAAAAAAGAGCCCAACATTTTATGCAGCTAAATTTATTCTCCCACAAATTACATTGAGATGTGTGAAAGTGGTCAACAGCAAAAGGGGCAGGAAGGAAAACAGGTCTTCCGGGGTAAGTCAGCCACTCTGGATGCCGGGACGCTCGACCTTTGCCCTGAAGCTTCATTGAGTTAAACTCCTTTTTACTGGCTGCGTAACACACGTTAGATGTGCATTAGGCTAAGCCTGGCCAACTAGAGAGCTAATGGTCTTGCTAAATTGTGCTATTATCAGTTAGGGAAACGTTTGTCATCAGTGACATCTTGAACTTGTGTTGCAATGCCTGTGAAATGAGTGCGCGATACGGGGATGACAACGGACATTTGTGGCTTCTGGGAAATGGCCTTGTGTAGTCTTGAAAATCATAAAGTGGATGTAAAAAAAGTAGCAGTGCCACAGTTTATCACCAAAAACTTATTTTAATGGAAATGGGTCTAATGTCCCTGCATGCAAGAAGACAGACAAAAAACAATGGTCCTAATTTGCTATGAGTGACCTTAAATCCAGGTGGAAACAAAGGCCATGAGGACATGGATGTGTCTTTGAGACGAGAGCACACGTGGTGAAGGGTATAAAAAGGAAGCACCGGGCAGTGCTTCAGACAGCAGAGTTTAGCCAGAGGCATGTTGGCTGTTCCCCTTGATGCTGCCAAGGAGCAGGTATGAGGTGGCAGGGCTGTGTCTGTCTAGCTGCTTTTAAAAAATAAAAGGACCTTTAAGCAGTATGCCCTTTCTTCTACATATTCCAATAGAAATGTGACTACAAATCATTACAAAACCACCTTAGGCAATGTATATAGTTCACTGAGATTACTTAGGCCTGGATACATTGTGAGATAATATCCAGTAAAGATAATACATTAACACAATAATGCAGTATATTTCAGTAAAAATAGAATAAATAAAATAAAAATATTTTAAGCTGTATTTAAAAGGTTAATTAAAAATATGATAAGACATACAAGGCATCGTGAACATGGCTGCCTGCTTACCGAATCACACATACAGAGAATGCATAGATAGGTAACTGAAGTGTTGCTAAGACAGCAGGTAAAACACTGGCGTCCTTTCACAGACAGGTACACACATACTCTCATACATACTTTTTGGCCATGGCAGAAAGTGTCTGAACATACTGTTTAACATAATTAATTTTACAAAATTAATTTGCATTAGTATGCAAAGCCATTTTCAAAACAAAGTCTTTGCAGTAAAGTTTTCAATATGTAAAGGCTATCATTCATCTTAATGCATCCTATAATTGCATATATAAATCAGTTTGCTACTTAAAGCTAGCTCAGTATTCTTGATCCTGAAAACAAACAAATGTATACCTTAAAAAATGAACAGGGAATTCTGGTAGAGATTTCCAATATAAAAGTGGACTACTTGTTTAGAATTTTGAAGTTTATCACGCTAAAAAGCTTAACTATGGAGATCAAAACGAATGATCCTCGTAACTGAATTCTCAACAGCTTTTCAGAGGGTACAGGAAGGATTTCATGATGCTACAACGTCTCATGATGCCCTCAGTTACTTTAGATAGAATAGTGTCTAAACTGGTAAAAAGTATAATGTATTTCTAGAGCGGTATCATTTTTGTCCTAACATTAGAGTGTAGCAGACGATTTCAGCGCTCTTTCTCCCCATCCCCTGACTTCTGAAGGGGAACGGCAGGTGGTAGGCTGCCTGCTCTTTCCATCATGTTGTAAGGTGGCTAAAACCATGAGTTGGGAGTATCTCTACAAGTAATGTCCTCACTGGGAAACCCCACGGACTGAACAGGCTATGCACTGAATGTGGAACCCTGTCCTCACTAACACCTTTGAGGCGCACTGCAGGAAAGCGGTCCTGGACGGGGGAGAAGAGAGAGCGATAATTAATACCCGTGTAAGTGATTTGGGCATATTTACCTCCCAGATTGACAGTATTTCCTTTCCTGCGCTCCTTGTATCTGTCCAGAGTCATTTTGGAAAGGTTCTTCCTGACTGCTGTGGAGACAACACCAACAGTCAGGCCTGGGGCCCTAGTCCTATTCTCCAGTGAACTCTGGGGAGACCGCAGCCAACTGAGTTAGCCTCTTGGTACTTCCTGTTTTTATTTCTCAAGTGTTTGTACCTTCTCTACCTTATAAGGCTCACCTGTGATAAAAATGTGGGAACCATTTTGACAAGTACGTAGCAGTGTATAAACAAAAAGTGTTACTTTTATAACTGGATGTTGTAAATGTTAGTTTTGATACTAAAAAGTAAACAAAACTAATATTGAGATTAATCTCCTTAAGCAACTTCCTTTTAAAACAACAATGTCGACAAGAGTCTAAATTTGTCTTCATAGCTAAGTTTCTTATCTATATAACAAAGCAGGAAATGCTGTTCTGGGGAACGTGTTCAGTAGTCCATTATTCCTATGTCTATTTTGCATTGATATGAGATTTTTAAGTCTTTAAAATGGAAAAAAAGATAAAAATTTTAAAATATACTAGTTGAGTCCAATGAATTATAATTTTAAATACATATATCCAGGAAAGATTCAAATTAATGCAGTTTGTTGCCATGGACAATACATGATGGACAGACAGCTTTCTGGGCAAAAAGCATTGGAGTAAGATTGAGCTAGATGCAAATTCTGGCAGAATAATTTCCTCTAGCATGTAAACTAATAAAAATAACGTGGTGGTGAGGGTCTAAAATAACTGTGTATGACAGAAATATAAATGACATTTCCTCAACTTCAAATTGCATATTGGCTAATTATCAAACTAAGGATGAAAGATTGATGAGCGATATTCCACTGAACGTTTATGTAGAGAATGGCCATAGTGAACTATAATTCTCTAGCTGCACTGTACAGTATAAGGCAGAAGTTTGAGATAAGTCCTACCCAAATACGTTATGATTTTGCTAATCTCTTTTTTAAAACAATCAGTTTGAAAACCATTTGAAAAGGCTATTTTTTGTTCAATTTTAAACCCTGAAATTTAGTTTTTCATCAATTTTAAAGTTTCACTTTTTTTCTAATATCCCACAAACAGCTGTAGACATGAAATGGTGTCCATGTGCCAGGAGAGCTCGTCAAGGAAGCTGCCAGTTGGTCTCCACACTGACGCCAACAGCCAATTTTGTCAACCGACATGTTCAATTTTATGAAAAACTAAAACAAAAACTCGCCATCCTATTTTTACAGCAGTTCACTGGTATCTGCTATGAAGTGTCTATTCCAATGTTGAAAAGAGGGCAAAGTGCTGTAGAACTTAAAAGTTGCTTGTGAAAGATCCCCAGTCAAGAAGACAGTGAAGCTGACTCAGGCATCGTTCACTCCAAGACGCAGCATCAGTTCACTAGGAGGGGTGTGGCCACATTCTTCTCTGTGTGTGTGAAGTAATGTTCACAATATTTACAATAAGAAAAAGACCTTCCACTGCTCGTGATGTAACTTACTGACAGCAAAACAAATTATTCATGCTTCTTTTCATATCACGTGATGGTGGCAAGACGAGAGAACATGCTTGTCTAACACTGTCTGGTTAAGGATAAATTCTCTGAAGACAAAGCATCACAACTGAATGGAAGGTCGGATGTCAGTTGGTTTTCTTTAGTGCAGCTGTTCAGTCTTCAGGGAAACACTAGCGTCCTTGCCATATGCACCTACGGCGTTTCTGTGACAGGGCGTTTCTGTTTCAAAGTGTCAATAAGGGACAGGACCCCTCGCTTTACATTGGTTGTGACTCTTCTGGTCACTGAGTCTGCTGGCGGTGGAGGCGGTCGGGCTTTCTGTGAAGGCGGCCTGGCTACCAAGCACTTCTGATACCGTAACTGAAATAAAACAGAAAAGTGTTTTAAAGTAATTAGTAATGTATTCTTTCCTCTTCCTCCATAGGACTTGAAGTCATATTGAGTAATTCCCTAAAGTTAATAACAACCTAGCTCCCCCACATAAATCTAAGAGTTTATATTTTTCTAAATGTATTTTAAATTCTCCTAAGAGAGCATTAGACAGACTCAACAAAGGTGTTCTGGCTCCCACCCATTTCACCCTCTGTCTGTTTTCCATATTGACAGGCTGCAATTAATATAGCACACACGTGAGTCAATGAGCTAAGGAAACCAAAAGGCTGGTAGACAGTGTAAGATTTTCATCAGAGATGGACATGTGGGGACGTGCTCATGGCTCCCTGAGACAGCATGGAAGAACGGGCACAGTGTGTGAGTCTAAGTCTGTCACTGTGAACCCCAGGCAAATTATTAAACCTTGGAGTCTCAGTTTTAACTATAAAATGGCTGAGGAATGGGAACACCCTTTCCAGAGAGTGATAGGAGTAAATAAGGAATATGCGCAGGGTGCCTAAAATAGACTGGACACCACAGGGGATGCAGAGATGTTTGTTCCTATTTCCTAGATTTCAGGATACATTTTTTTTTTTTTTTTTTTTGAGACAGAGCCTCAAGCTGTCCCCCTGGGCAGAGTGCCGTGGCATTACAGCTCACAGCAACCTCCAACTCCTGGGCTCAAGCGAGTCTCCTGTCTCCGCCTCCCAAGTAGCTGGGACCACAGGCGCCCGCCACAACGCCCGGCTATTTTTTGGTTGCAGCTGTCGTCGTTTGGCGGGTCCAGGCTGGGGATTCGAACCCGCCACCTTAGGTGTACGTGGCTGGCGCCTTAGCCGGTTGAGCTATAGGAGCCCAGCCCAGGATACATTTTTTATATAAAAGTCTAAATCCTAATGGATTTATTTAAAAAACTTCATTAGCATTGCTACTATAGACAATTTTTACCTTTCAGAAATAAAACAACATAGGCTACTTGGTTTTTTATCAATGGGAACTTTAGTAGTTCTTCAAAATTAGGTAAAAAGTATTTTATAAAAAAAAATTTTTTTTTTTTTTTTTGAAACAGTCTATGTTGCCTTCGGTTGAGTGCTGTGACATCACAGCTCACAGCAACCTCAAACTCTTGGGCTTAAGCGATTCTCTTGCCTCTGCCTCCCAAGTAGCTGGGACTACAAGTGCCTGCCATAATGCCCAGCTATTATTTACTTGCAGTTGTCATTGTTGTTTAGCTGGCCAGGCCGAGATGGGTGGACTGCCCAACCTCATAGGTTGGAGACCAGCCTGAGCCAGAGCAAGACCGCCATCTCTCCAAAATAGCTGAGTGTTATGGTGGGTACTGGTAGTCTCAGCTGCTCAGGGGGCTGAGGCAAGAGGATCCCTTAAGCCCAAGAGTTTGAGGCTGCTGTGAGCTATGATGCCACAGCATTCTACTGAGGACAACAAAGTGAGACCTTGTCTCCAACACCAACAACAAAAAAAGCATGGGTTTATACATGGGCAAATCTGGCAACCTGGATGCTAGGACTTGGAACCTCAAACAGCTGTGATATATATCCAGTGTGAATCCAAACTGCATCTGAGGAATTTCACCCTTTCTATCCTATTCTAAATCTCACCAAATGTCTTCAGTTGCTGGGCAGCACCTGTGGCTCAGTGGGCAGGGCGCCAGCTCCATATACCAAGGGTGGTGGGTTCAAACCCAGCCCCGGCCAAACTGCAATAAAAATATAGCCGAGCATTGTGGCAGGTGCTGGTAGTCCCAGCTACTCGGGAGACTGAGGCAAGAGAGTCGCCTAAGCCCAGGAGCTGGAGGTTGCTGTGAGCTGTGTGACGCCACGGCACTCTACCAAGGACGATAAAGTGAGAGACTGTCTCTACCAAAAAAAAAAAAATGTCTTCAGTTGGGCTTACGCCACGCCCAAATGTTATATGGATTCAAAAGAATGTGTTCATGCCACAGATATTTCAGATGGAATGAAGGCACATACAGGTGTTTCAGATGGAGAATCTTGCAGATGGGCATCACGAAGAAAGCCAGTGAGTTAGAAAAGCTGGGTTCCACGAGGGTGGGAGGGCAGAAAGGACTGATTCTGTCAATATGCCTCATACCGGATTGAGCTGGTTCAACTGGCTACAATGCCAACTAATACAGTTAAAGTGGGAAGTAAATGAAAGTTTTTCCAAGATAGAAAATGAGTCTGAGAATCAGAAAACAAACTGTGGCCAAATGATAAAGCTAATTATTTGTCATTATCATTTAAAATGCCGAAAGCCGTTCATTTTATGACTAATACCATCTGGTCTGATCTGTTCCAGTTTCATGAAATGCCTAAATAGTCGCCATCGATTTTTGCTTCACTGAAATCTCTTGTTTTCTATTTTCTTCATGTGGCCCCTTCTTCCCCTCTTCACTCGTGCCCCTCACTAGTTGGCTCACCCTGGCTGCCCTCTGCCCCTGCCCCTGTCCAGCCCTGCTCAGGCCTGAGTGAGCAGCCCAGCCCACAGTACTTGAGGGGGAGCCAAACCTCAGACAGGGCTGTGGGAGGTGCGGACCTAGGCCTGAGTGTTCCTTCTCCCGCCTCCTCCCTTTCAAAGCAGAAAGGTCAATGGGCTCTTTTCCTGTTCCTCACCTCTGCCTTCCAGCTTCCCTTCCCTGAGCTCCCCTATTCTTGGTTCTTAGCCCCTGCAGCCTGTCTCTAGTAGAAGGCCCCCCAACCTCCACCCAATGGGGTAGAGCTGCTCCTCCTCTCAGCTCTCCACCGGCTAGGATGTCCTGGGAGACCCTGCCACAACTGTGTGTGTGATCCCTACTGCAACCCAGCTGTACCGGCTCCTTTCCCTTGGCCTAACAAAATGTGCATGTCAAAAAAAAAAAAAAAAAAAAAAAGGCCGGGCAAGGTGGCTCACAATGTAATCCCAGCACTCTGGAAGGTGAGGCGGGGGGATTGCTTGAACTCACAGGTTTGAGACCAGCCTGAGCCAGAGCAAGACCCCATCTCTACTAAAAATAGAAAAACTGGAGGCAAGAGGATTGCTTGAGCCCAAGAGTTGGAGGGTGTTGTGAGCTATGATGCCGCAGCACTCTACCCAGGGTGACAGCTTGAGAGTCTGTCTCAAAAAAAAAAAAGGTAGCTTGGTGTGGTGGTGTGAAAATCAATCACTCGAGCCAGGAGTTTGAGTCCAGACTGGGCAACACAGCAATACCCTACCTCAAAAAAAAAAAAAAAAAAGAAAGAAAAGGGTACAGGTTTCCTTGGACCTGATTCAACATGCCCCTGGCCCCAGGGGTTGCCCATCACTGAGTCTTGAGAGTTACGTACTTTGAGGGCCTCCACTTCTTCCTCCCAGTTACTTCTCAGTCTCAGACTGATTTATAGCACTTTCTACACTATAACAGAATGTTGGTTTATGTGTCTCCCCACTACACCTGAGTCTCCATCATGCCAAGGGTCACAGTTCAGTCATCTTGAACTCCTGAGCCCAGCCAACAGTGCTGGACTGAAGCAAAGCTCGGGGGCTTCAGACGCAGCACCCCTGGCCCAGCCAGGCAGCCCTCATGGCCTCATGGGGCTCCCTGTACCCCCACTGCCACCCTCCCGGCTCAGACCTCCCCTTCTCTCTTGCCAGGGCTAGTTACCTGGCCGGGCTGATCTCTCCACTTAGCCCTGTTCCCTAACCTACCCTCCACTTCGCTGTTTTCAGTTTTTACTAGAGTGCTATTTGAAATCTAAATATGATCGATTTACTCTCCTGCTTGACAATCTTGGCTGAAGAGAATCAAACCTTGGCATGACACCCAGGCCCTTCCTGATCCCTCCCCTCCTTCCACTTGGTTCTGAGACCCGCCTGAGGGCTGCTCAAACACACCATAGACTCAGGCTTTTTTGCCTACACTCACATAGTCCCTCGTTTTTTTATTTAGAACTTCTTCAGTGTCTGACAAAACAGGTGCTCACAGAATACTTGCTGAAGGAATAACAAAATATTCTTGTTTGTTTAAAATCATAAACTCAGCAAAAAATGTCCTGGCTGTGTGCCCAGGCAGACCTGGGGTTGAACTCAGGCTGCCCTGCGGCCCACTCGAATGTCCCACTCGAATGTCTCTGAGTCTCTGTGTTCTCAAAAATAGAACAGAACAACCACTTCACAAAGGTGTTGTTAAGGACGGAGTTAACGGAGTTAATAAAATAAAATATATGCATTTAAACCAATTATTTAAAATAAAAATGTATTTCTTTTCATTTTTTTTTTTTTTTTTTTTTTTGAGACAGAGCC